CTTTGACCTCAGGAATTTTTTTCAAACTGCTAATTTTTCTCTGTTCGCACTACCACCTCCTTTTTGCCATCCACTACTTGGCGGCGGTTGGGGAATTTTGGTGAGATGGTATGGTGAAACGTTGTAGAAGGAGGATCGTGCCAGGACCGCTTTTGGGTGGTGATACTGACACAGCCATTTCACACAATCGGTGATATACCCCTTAACGCACCTCTGAAAGAGGGTTGTTCATGCTCAAAACTCCATCCTTACCATCTTATTCGAGTGCGCATTACCCCCACGTCTTGTTTGTTAATTTGACTGAGCATATCAGATGGAGACTCGAGGCAGTTCGGCGACGGGGGGGGCATCTTGCACTTTCGCTGTTTCACGGTTCTGGTTTGCTTATCTCACTCTGGTGAAACCTGTGAACTCTTGTGAAGCTGGAGCAAGCTCGTCGAGCTACCATGGTAAAACCTGTCAACTCTTGTAAGCTCATAAATAGCTCTCTAGATGGCTTGACACGTCGATGGGAAGTAGCAAGAGTGCAAAATGCCCCCTCGTAGCCGAAGTGCGCCGTAGGTTCGCTATGGTAATAACCGATGGAAGTGGCATTAAATACAACAGAAGTCTTACCTGAATCTGACTCTGACGTCGTTGTGCCAGCAAATTCTGACGGGCACGTTCGTTGGACGAATTTCGTCGAGGCGACGGCGAGCTCTCATATGTCTCGTCTAACGATGCAGACTAGAAAGAATCGTCGTATTAGACTTCAGAAACCTTTTTCAAACAGATTAATCGATGTAGGGGAAGCGATCAAAGCATTTGTTAAGGCGGCGTTTGACTTGAACGTTACTTTTTTCTACCCATACAAGTAGTTAATTAGAATTTGGATAAAACATTTTCACCAGAGAATCATTCCTTTCGATGAATGATTGTTTACGAATACGATGATATAGACCGCCATTACCCTTAAAGCGCTAAGCTGAGAGATAAAACTTATCTAAATAATCCACTTCTGAAGCAATTCAAACCACTTCATTTATCACACTATCAAATCAGTGGTAGTGAAAAGACTTCAATGAAGTAGATTCTACCTTAACATATGGCTTCTTTGTCAACAGAGCTGAGTCGGAGCCGGCAGAAACTTTTCTGGTTTTCAGCAGATCGATTTCCTTAAAAATCCCGTTTGAACAAAACAATCCCCTGAGGTTTCGCTTACTCATTATTTTTTTTCATCTGATGGCACTCATATTTTCTTATAATGACTTTGTTTCGGGAACCTTTTGCTGATTACACCCCCAGATTGTCCGTTTTCTATTTTCTTTAACTCTTGACATATTGAATATCGTGTCAAGTAATTTTACTCACAAGACAATACAAGACAGGGGCTTTCTTGGGGTCAGAGACTAAAACAAACAAATGTCAAATGAGATCTGCCTGCTCAATCCTCAAACAATCTCTAAGTAAGCCAGCCTTACACCCTTGCGTCGATATGATAATAACGTCTTCGCCGTCAATCAACCCATTTTTGGAATGCGGCCCGCATTCTACTTCCATTCAGGGTCGCATGCAATAAGGCCTCACGAATGGACTTGGGGGGCGGGGGGGGGTGGTAGCCAGTGTGCAAGTCAGTGTTGTTATCGTCCTAGAAAAGTCTGGTACAGCTTTAGGGTCCCCATTGAGGGTGTGGTCGGCTGGGGCGGGAGTCGAGGATTTGAAGACAGCCCCCGCGATCAAAGTGGCTCGTGGTCGTCCTTTGCTAGTGCAAATAGGTCTAGCTTTCCAAGCTAGAAGACCTGTTCTCTTTCGCACTCTCATTGCTGGGAGGCTGCTATAGCCGCTCAAAGTGCTAGTTCTAACTCCTCCTCAGTCGGACCGCCTTTACTTGCTAGATGTCCTCCGACGGAGGCCACTCACTTGTTCTTAGTTGGGGCGGCGGGCATTGCTAATGCCCCTGGATAATTCTGCTCTCCTTCATTACAGTTTACTCATTGGAGGTATATACATTCAATTCAACCCATTTCGCGAGGTGAAACGCGTAAAAACACGAGTGACGCAATTTTCGTGATGCAAAACCACGACGCACAACAAGTCGTGCGCTACCGTAATCACAAATTCACACCGTGTTGATAAAATTCCTTTTTCCTTCCAGAGTTTTTCCTCTGCGTTTTTGTTGTTTTCTTTTTGTATTCTTTTTTGCACTGGATGATATCAACTACTGCGAGATGTGATAGAGATTTGTGAGCTAGGGGGCTGCACAGAGACGCAAGCGAGGGTGGAACTGCTGGGGAGCGATTTTGTTTATGTTGTTCTGGAGAACGCTTCTTGCTTGTTTTCTTCTTTGGGAGATTACTTATCAGCTGCTGTTTCATAATTGGAAAGCAGCGTATCATGAGGATTTATCGCGGGGCTGTCTTTAACCCTGCCAAGTTGTTGCTCCACTGAAGTAAAGTGTGCTGTATTGTGGCCTTTTCATGAGGCAGCGAACGACTGTCGTCGTTTGCCCTTAAAGACACGCAGCGCCAACCTTTACGTCACATGAGGACTGTGAGTGCGAGGGACCACTCCGTCCGGCTATAGCGTGTTTTCATAAACGTAGGACTAACGCCGAGTTGACTTTACTTATTGCTAGCTCGGAACAACTTCGTCCGGGGATTGCTGAAATGTTTTGGCGGCAAATAATTTATCTTTTTTGTCCACTTGAGGCTCTGAAGTGGGCGAGGGCGCCGCAATCTGTGTTCCACCCTAAGGAACGCTGCACACCTTCACACTCTTTTCAAAATGGTTTCGGTCCCGGAGCTTCTCTGGACAAGGTGCGCAATTAGGTGAATCGCGTTGCCTCCTGTGTCTCACATCTTTTTCCTGATTTCCTCGTTTCTCCAGGCAACTGACAAATAAGGTTGCGCTGCTTGTTTGTGTTTTTTGGTTGATTCTGCTCCTTTGTTTCAAAGAACGCACGGTTAAGCCCACATAAAGACCGGGGTGACATGTCTTCAAAAAGATAATTAAAGACAAAAGGCACGATAATTTGGCGCTGCTCAAAAATAGTAGCAGGGGTGCTATGTAGTGGGAACGAAAAAGCGAAGGAGATAACGGAGAAAAACCTGCAAAACCTTCGTTTCTACACGCTATTTGGGACGAGTATCTTTTTGGCACGAGTTTCCGTTAGCATCGCTGCCTCATAAACCACTTTCATGGATACGGCTGCACGTGTGTATTGATATACCAACGCTTCATTACCTTTTGTTCTATACAAATGAAGCGATAGGACTAAGCGGGTCGATGTGACTGTCCGACTATTTGTAGGACCGGCGGGGTTGCGAGGGGTATAGGCTAGGCCTTTTTGCATTCTCGATTAGGCTATGGACGATGCCCATAGGTGCAAGAGGCGTCGGCCAGGTTACCTGAAGGGCACAATATTTTTTCGAGATAGTCGTGTCGACCCTGTACGCCTTATCAACTTATCGTGCCACTTGCCTTTGATTAGCGCTCAATAAACACCAAAGGGAATTCATATTGCTCATGGGCAACTTTCATCTTTTGCGAAGGAAGCTCACACTTATAAAATGATTTTTGCGTACAAAATGGGATATCTCCCTTTATATACTCAGATACCACTACGCCGGACTAGCACCACCAGAAAGCCAACCCAGCTACTAGCACAAATCAGCTTACCCATCTAATAAAAAGATAAGAATATGTAAAAAAAACTTATCGATAGAGGAAACGTTTCGTGTGAGGATTGTCTCCCAAGTTTCAAGATGAAGGTATAAATGCAGAGCGATAATTAAGGAACAAACCTGCATGACAGATGGATTTGAATGTATGGCTGGCTTTGGTACGACTGTGTCCATCGTTTGCCGTGCTGGGCTCCACTCGATTTCAGCGGGTGGTTCGTTAGAAAGTTGTTGAGATGAGCCTTGAGGAGACGAAGACGGACTTAATTCGACTTGGATCTGAAACATACACTGAAGTATGTAGCCTGTGCAGTACTTACGTTGGCAAAGAAGTATTCGTTTAGAGATGAGAGGGACAAAAAGATAGTTAAGTTTTCGTTCCGCACGTTTCCTCGGAAGACATGGCATGTATGCATGAGTTTTATCACAGCGGAGAAACAATTGAGAAGATCTACGACTTTGCAGTAGTATGCCGGTAACCAGGACAGAGACAGATTGAAACGGAGACAACGTAAAGCGTTTTATATTTTGGAAGAGGACTAGAAAATTCAACCTCCTTACAATTGACCCACCCCCGGAGTTGATTGGATTTCACGAAATTCTCTAATGTCAACAGCGAAACAATGAAGTTAGTCATTTTTGTGAGGTCTGAGGTTAGCTAGTGCTTTAATGAGTAAAGGAGGAGATAGAATTTCAGCTTGATCAGGCAGTGTCGGTTAATCTGCTAAAAACTGGACATTTCTGATATGTTTGTGAATTTTGACTGCTTTCTGCGCTTGCAGAAAAATGGGAAGCCAGGGTACAGCATAGGGATAGGCGAAATGTCGGTGTGAGTACGACCCCCCCCCTCCGAATGGGGTCCACGCCACGACCCCCCTCCCCTTTTTTTCCCCGTTGGTACGACCCCCCCCTCAGCTCGACCGGCTCTTTCGCCGACTGACGAGCGATGGGTATATAGTCGGCGAAAAAGTAATGCAACGCTATATCCGGCGGGTTGTTACAGGGTTGCTATATAACCCAAAAAGTAATACGAATTAAAGCCGACCCCCTTTTTCCGCAAGAAAAAAATCCAATTCTATCAAATAAATTTTGTCTTAGCCCAAATACGAACGCCCGCACTCCCCAGCGGAAAAGTAGACCCATTATGTTGTTTTAGCACAACGGATCTGTACCCTGATGGGAACACGAAACGGTGCGAAATATATGAAAAGAAGAGAGAAAAAAAAAATGAAAGATAGGAGCATCGTATTCTCAAAAAGATTAGATGGAAGCTCTCATAGCTTTCATCAAACCTTTTTTTCATCAAACTTTTTTGAGATGCGATGCGGAGGTGGTGTAGTGGCAAGTGGCGCGGTCACCTTTCGCAGTCCCGGGTTCAAATCCGGGTCGACTCCCACCCCGGCCAACCAAACCTTCTAACCCCAGGAACGGTAAATTGGTACCAGATTCCTCTGGGAGGATAAACATTACTGAGTAGTAGTAACATCCCCGCAACTACGCAAATTCATGTATAAGCCACATCGCATTCAATTAGCCAGCACGATTCTGAATGGAAGTAAAATGAGTGCCGCATCCCACAAGGGGAATGATCAACGGCGAAGAATCCGTGGACTGTTCTTATACTCCATATCCACGAAATGGGGTGGGCGTAGCCGCTTACTTCATGGCCGCGATGGTATTTGTCCTTGTTTAGCACAAGGCAGAATGATAGTCGTCCCAAACGGAATATTATAGGTGAACCGCATTACATGGCCATGTTCTGCGAACAAATAGCCCATTGCCCGTCCTCATCATTCTCTCGGGAGATGGACAGTAACATGGCAGAGCCGAGATGGCTTTTTAGTGAAATTAACATATGCGATGCGTTGGGAGGTCACGATGAACAAAGCCAGGTTTTTACCTCCTTCTACACGACGCCTGATACGCTAATGAGCCCTCTTCGGGAGATCGAATGCATGGTCGATCTCGGCGGAGGCCGATCCGATGACTCGATTCTTCTACAGTGTGGGGGTGGTGAGCGGCGCTCTTCGCTAGCCTACCATCTCCGCCTTGACACTTCAAAGAGCATACAAGAGCATAGAACTAAATGTTAGGCCAACAACGGATGTTGGGCAGACCCTGGGAATGTGATCGTTGAACAAACCAGAGTGGTCGCCGTCGGTACGCGCCCAAAGACTTTGTTATGCGCAGGAAGTCATTGAGGTGCGGAAAGCACTATCGCTAATAGATTTACGACTTCCGCCTTACCCAAAGACTCATTTCGAAACAAGTTCATATCCCAGGAGAGACTTAGAAAGATTGGTTTCCTCAAAGTTCTATGAATTAGCTAGGTACAAGGTATCGGAATGCAAAGAGTGAATGAGCTAGTGATTTAGTATTTCTCGTTCAAATGACGCGTTATCAAAGAGTGAAGGGTGGGGGAGGGTTCTGGTCAGTGAAAGAGGAAATGACAACTGATGTAGGGATTAGGCTCGTAAGGTTCACTTTTATGCTAAATATATGCTCATAGGGCAACGCGGGTTCTGGCAGATAAGGAGTAAAATATTAACAAATAGGAAAGGGAGAGGAGGTCACCATTTCTCGTCCGGAAATCATAGACTATTAGGCTATCCTGGCAACTTCGTCGAAGAAGCCAACATTCAACCAGCGCTTTTTTTGCCCTATTAAACAAATGCGGTATCGAATTAACAATTCCTGGACGATCTGGCTGGATTGAGATAAATTTGATTCGAAGTCCAAGCGAACAAGGGTGCATCCCCCTCCTGTCACTCCTTCGCTTCTCGGCCACAAAAGGCCGAAGCTGAACTGTTTACTCTTCTGATCTTTTCCTTCTGCCCCAGGTTTTTAGGTGGGGATCTTTATTCTTGGCTAGTGTTCCAACCCTTTCGTCGTTGTCAAAAGCCTGAACATAGCTCAAAGCTTCAGAAATGCACACTATCCCACCAAACGCCTTGTCCCCTGTAGCATTTCACATTGTGCCCTCCAGCATTTGAAAACGAAGAACGAGTCGGAACTGACCGAGAATTAAGGTTTCCACCTAAAAACCTAAAGGCAGAGGCAAAAGATCAAAACAGTTTAGAACAATGCCGAGGTTTCGAGGTGAGAGAAGTTGGAATCTGCTGGTTACCCTATTTGAAGGCATAAGGGACGGTAATTTGGTACGCGGTCTGAAATAGTAAATATATACTGGGAGACGGCGAAAAAAAGCGAAGTGAAACGTTCAAAAAACCTGCAAAAAAGCCTTTGTTCTACACGTTTCAGAAAGCACTTTTGGACGAGTTTCCCATTGGCATCGTGCCAATAACCGCTACGGTGGATACGGCTGCTCGTATTCACATACCATATATCCACTTCATATCAAACCCTTCGTTTCATAATTCATATCACTTCGCAGATGAAGAGATACGAGCACCAGCATCGGTCGGACGTTTGTGGGCGGGCGGTCCGGGTCGGTGTGCTGCAGCTCGATAGGGCGCTATAAAGGTACCTTCCTGCTAGGCGTATTAATCCTACACGTTTTTGGGATTTATCGGGCCTTTTT